CATAGTAATAAGGGGACGGTGAATAGTAAATGAGTATATAAATTTTATGACGATTCAGTAGATCGAGAAGAGATTGACATTGTAGGTTACAAAATAAATATAATGAGAGAATTAATAATTAATAATTATTTTAATGAACATAAAATGATTTAGAAAATAAAAATTAACTGTAATGTAATAGAATAATAATATTATAACTATGAATAATCATAAATATTTGAGTGGTTATATCTCTATGTTTGATTATTTTTAAAACAGTACATGTTCTTGCCAAAAAAAAGTTTTATTTACTATATTAGAAAATTAATAAACTAATTTATAGTATAAAGTGGCGAAATTTATTTGTATGAAATTTTATTGAAATAATCAATTTTTGGTATGAAATGGCTGAAATTTTTTTGGTATAAATTTTTATTGGCATACACTTGTTTTGGTATAGTTTGGTCTGCACTTGATTCTTTTCTATTTTGAAATCCGTCAATCCATGTTAATTAGTCTTAATATTTTTTCACTTTCAAATAGAATTTCATTACACATTTTGAAGACTAGTACTAATCACGTGCGTTGCACGAAAAAGTGACAATCATTAATATTTATAATTTAAAAATGTTCATTAAATAATATTTATAAATAAAAAATATAGATTTAATATGGAATATAACTTACCTATAATTTATGAAAAATGTTATATGAAATACAAATTGTGCAAAATTACATAAAAATATTCTTATAAAAAATTAGTACATAACCCGTATGGTGCACGTAACTGAAAATAAATTACATTTCATTTAAAAACAAGTGTAATTTTAAAATTTTTATTCAGAAATTCGTTTTGACTACAATGTGATTTCACAAATAAATATTTTTTTTGTAAATTTTATCATATATTTAAAAATCTACATGAATAATAAGTATAATTATAAAACTTATATTGTTTTATTAATTAAAATGAATTTAGTTTTTACTATCTTAATAAAAAAATTAAGTAGTTTAGTAATTTATTAAACTATAAATAATTGACTATTCCATTTACGTTCAAGTTATTGGCCCGTACGTTATGAATAATTACTTATTAGACTTTTAAATTTGGAACTCAAATTGGGAGTACACACTAAATTCTCTTATATATATATATATCTCAAAATTTTCTAGATTTGTTGTTTATTATCTTATCATTCAAATTTATCAACTAATTCCCTAAAATTAAATTACAAATTTTACATTTAATAACCAATATTTGTTCAAAAATCTTTCTAATTTCAAAAGAAATACATACCAATGTGGCGAATTATCATCAATATCTTATGGAAAGTTATGGGAATAATATCACCTTGATTTTATATCAAATCAACCTAAAATTCGACTTTCATACCCATACAATGTTGGTGTATATATACTAAAAGATTTGCTTTGAATATTATTTACACTACTTCAGTTGAATGAGAATCGTGTTTGATTAAACAAGTTTTATGTTATGTTGTTTTACACTTAGATAAAATGGTTAATCGCGGATGGATGGAAGATCGTTTTATCAGTTACTTGCAAAACAAGAACGATTAGTTCACAACCTAAAATGAAAATGAACAAACCATCAAAACGGTTGTAGTGTCATTTTATGCATTGAATAGGATCCCAGAGAAGAGTCCTTCGTTTTATACTGATCGTCGTAAACGAACTAAACCTCAGTTAATTGCTACGTTCTCTTAACTCATAAGATATAAACATACACATAGTAGCTATTACTTTGATTCACTAAAAGCAAAATCTATTCGATTGGGTCAATAGTCTTCATGTTTTCGGTAATAGTGTTGCATGTATGATGTGCTGTTAGAATATTTACGGTCACCATGTGTATTAAATTGATGATATCCCCTGAAGTGAGCTAATGAAAGATTATTAGGTTAAACCACCATGTGTGTTAGTTTGACGATATCCCCGAAATGAACTCATAAAAGATTATTAAGTTAAACCCTGCAAGTAAATTAAATTCCGACATAATATTAAAGATTTGAGTGGTACTAGTTACGATTCAAAGATACCAATTAACTCATGTCTCAGCTAAAAGGAAATAAATAAACACGCATTGATAGAACAAATCTCAACACACAAAAGCGTGTAATACAAGTTAAAAGCCTCTTCTCAAAATGAGGTTAAAAAGTTGAAAATAAATAAGAAAAAACACAAAACAATTATAGAAGGGTTGAGAGGAATAAAATTATGTAATGTCCGACTTGAAGGGTGGTAACAACTGCCTCAGTTACAAAACAAAACTCACAACAATTACGTGATGATAGGCAAGGTCTGCAAATTTAGGTTGTCCCAATGGGATGTGTCTCCTTGCATTCCCCAATGACTCCACATCATATCCTAAATGGTTCGTTCTCAGCTCTGTTCAGCTTTGCCTTCTTCAGCTTCGATTTTTTCGTTGCGAATTCTTGGAATAAATTTGGTCCACTAAAGTCGATCTTGGAACCTCTCAACTTCTTCCTCTTTCCTCTGTCATATTCTTCATCCCTGTGGAAAAGAAACATCACAATTGGTATATGCATTTTCACACAAGAAAAGATGAAAGAGCTGAGGGGATTATACAACATCATGAAGCCTGTCAGACCCAAACAACTACAAGGAAAATGTTTATAAAAAAGAAGAAAGAAGGAACCATGGGATTTGGTCATGCCTCAAAAAAAAAAGAGGCTACCATGCCTCTAAAATTAACAAATAAACCCTTAGACATCTGTGCTTCAATTTTCAAAATTGCACATAGGAAAAGAGAAATATAATTGTTAAAGGAAATCCAATCCTCAAGTGGTCGTGTGTTAGTGGGGTAGTTGCCATTACAAAATGTAACTAGGTTCTTATGTAATTACATCAAACCCCTGAGAACATTTTGTACTTGTTACTAATGAGAGACTAATGGAACTAGTATTCAGGGAAAAGCTTCGAGAAGCAACTATTTCCCGGAAAATCATCTTTGATGGATACCTCCATCATATTCAATCCTTCAAATTTCCAAATTTTGNATCATATCCATTTCCAAAGTCATTGGCCATGGGGCTCGGCAACCACGTATTCTTTTTCTTCTCCTACAAATTATTACGGACATTCTGCAGACTGCAGAAGCTTCTGGCTCAATATGTTAAATCTTAGAGCAAGCTTGAAATACAAATGAATTTTTCACTTGCTTAATATATACCCTAAAGAAGCAAAGAAAATCAATTATGATGTGCTGAGGCCAGCAATCTATTTGACGACCAAGGATCAGTGCTTATTTTAAAATGGAAACTCACCATTCATCCCCAACATAACCAATTTGGACAGTGGTTCCTGCTGCTCTTGTTTCTAACTTTTCAGAAAGTGAAGCATCAATACCATCCCAACGAGCAACTGCAGCAAGAAAACAAAGACCAAAAGAAGTTACAACGGGCAATTTTAACATACTAAAGTTAGTAAATAATCACAAATTTAAATAATCTCAGTTTCTCACCAGTTGTCTCTTCTAAGCCTCTGGTTAGCATGCTCATCACATTTATTGGATTTCTTTTTAGTAGTTTCTCGGAAGGTGTGGTGCCATCAGCAACTCTCTCTCTAAAATCATTATTTATGACATCACTCAATATACTACTACTGCCTTCTCGACTCACATTCTGTACGCTCAATTTCTGATTTTCACCATCTGAGCCAAATTTGGAGTTCCTTTTCTGAGGGCGAGAACCAGAATCATCAGGCAAAGGTGATAATCTATCAGCAGAAGATGGCCCAGGGCTCGAGGGTAAATCATTCGCATTTTTCTTTTGCATTTCCCTTACCTTCTTAAGCTTCTTTTTACGCATTCCAAGCCCTACACCAAATATAATGTTGGAAGTGAATGAGGTGGTGGGAAGATGACGCTTGAAAACTCTCCGTTTCACTTTCAGCTCAGGCCTTTTCTTCTTAGTTTCCTCACGTTGTGTTGTGGCTAGTGGGCTTGAAGACAACCCTAACTGCACAGCTTCTACTCTCTTCCCATTTTCATGATTGTCTTCAATGGTCGAGTTACCAATCTTCTCAGAGGGACCTCCAGCCTATGGAAGACCATAGTTTATTAAACTGACAAACTACTCTATAAATGCTGACAAGGCAGACGAAATTTTATTTTTGGTTTAAACTTCTAATTACTATACTAATGAGAAACAATGAACAAAAAAAGTTTTGATACTTCCATAGAAAATGAGAAAAGTACCTGACTCTCCCCTTCAATTCTACATTTCTGTGTAGATTTCATGTGTGTAACTTCAGTTAATCCTTTAGCAACCATTTCCATTTGCATGATTTTGTCATCAAGCTGAATGAGCAAAAAAGGCAGGCAAAGTCAAGCGAAGACTTCTAATCCAGGGGAAAAAAGAAAAAGAAAAGAAAAAGGAACCAAAATAATGGAAATATAAAAAAACTGGGAAAAGGGCAATATTGTAAGGCGGTAAAAGAGCCGAAAATACCACTCCAGAGTTGGTTCCGTTCATTTTACACAAATTTTCCATAGCACTTTCCTTTTCACAAGTAGATGGTGTGACAGCAAAATCTATGGGTTCTTTCTTGTCAACCGAATCCTCTGGTACAATGCGTTCAGGTAATTTAGCACCTGATGCATTCGGGTCCTCTAAAACACTTGCACTGTTGCTGCTGGGAACAATTTCAGCACCAGTTGCAAGTGAGCCCTCTTTATCATCCACAGCATTAACATTCATAATATCGTGATCCTTCACCTGCTCCTTTAATGGTGGCACAAGCGATGAAGTTTCAGTCTGCGGGACCCTCTTATGGCCCAGATTACCAACAGATAATGAGCCATTTCCATTGACGAAAGTTGTCTTGTTGTGAGGAGTCCCCTTCAGTGCACCCAAGACCAGTGGATCTCTTCCAGATAAAGTCGCCGAGGCAGAAAGGTCAATTCTTTTCTCCATTGAGCCGTTTTGAATTTTTTCTTTCAACTCCATGTTGAGTTTTGAATATGCTTCATTTCCAATGGCGCTCATAACCATGTTTTCTTTCTGGATGACGTTGACAGGTTTCCTCGGGATAAAATTCTTCCTGTCCCGGACATAAAACAACATATACGCTTTCTGTTCGAGAACACGTTTCTCGCTCACTTGGAAAACCTGTAAAAATGTCACAAAGGCACACATTGAAGAACAGAACTCTACAACAAGGACATAAAGAATTTGCATCTGAACCACATTGACTGGGAGCAATAAAAAGCATTACACTTATATTTTGAACTCCTGCATTATAATTTATTTCCTCATACCTGATTGTCGTCCAGGGAATACCACATGCCACTTGAGGTGCGAACGAAGCAGTAATAGTGGCCAGAACGAGTGCTCCAACCAGCATGAACAAGGACACCATAGAGTGTGTAATTTAGATCCCCATCCTGAAATTTTATACATAGTAGAAAAAGAGGAAGCAAAAGCATAATAAGTTCATCAAAATTATGATGACACAGCAAGCAGCAGTTTGGGGGTCAAGAGTGAATCTCACAGAAGACCAACGGCAGGTTTATATGAATGGTACCACAAAAGAAAAGAATCCACATGAATGTATATAAATTGACACCGNNCAAAAAAAAAAAAAAAAAAAAAAGTAGTATATTAAAGTACGGGTGCGCATGTGAAACTTACATAGGGGCCAGTTACAAATGGTTTTAAGTCCAAAGTAGGTCCAAAGGCGATCTTCTTATCAATTTTCTGACCAGGTGAATGCGAACCGAATCGTTTTAGGTGAACAGTAAGTACATGAGGCGCTTTGTGAATCGTGAGTTGCTTGAGGGCCCTAACTTTCTGTTTGCATTGCTCACAGTGGTACTGCTTGGCACCCCCATCTAACTGCTCTTTGGCAGTGAAATGAGCAAGAGCCTTAAGTAATGAATCTGCTTTCACTATTTCTAGACTTAAATCCAAGAAGGGGTCAAACTTGTTGGAGCAGTAGGAACACTGCATACATTTCACCTAACAAGTAAACAAGATGTCAGCAGACCAAATAAAAAAAGGCAAGAAACATATACCCCTAGAAGGAAATAAAACACTAAAGTATTATGTTTTATTCTACTTCTATACGTCTAGCAGCCACTGGATTACCTGACTCCTTAGACGACCACCAAATATCTTGTGAACTAAACTTTTCTCATAGGCACCAGGTGATTCGCTAGGAACTCCAGATGGCAAGCAGCACCTGTGCATTGATTCTAGCAAATTCACCATGTACTCATGGGCATCTTCTTGCCTCGCAATTCGAAAATTCCGAGATATACCTGGTATCTTGATCAAGGATTCCAACTAAAGAGAAACTAAAATGTATTAAAAACCACAAGGAGAACCATATATATAATATGAAGAGAACAAGAATCAGTAACTACGTCGTGAGATTCCTCTACATCTATGCAAGAATAAAGCTAATAAAATTACCACAGAAAGACGAAAAAGAACAAGAGAAGGTATAGTATGAGACATTGGAACAAGACATGAGAAGGAAGGATACGATCATCTAATTGATCTTAATTTCTACCAAAGATAGGGGAACGGGGAAAGGTGCAATAAGAGTACATGAGGATGACAGCTACATTAATATCTGAGAACGTCAACAATTGTAAGAAGATGGAATATGAGGTAAACATTTAAAACCATGAATATGATTCCTTATTTTATTTGAGTCATAACACTGCCAATAGGCAAGAAATTTTAAAAAATAACAAATAAATAACTTTCAAAGGTATGGTAGAAGAGGACTGGCTCAAAAGTCAAACAAAAAAGAAAGAACTGTATAAACACCCCAAACAAATGAAAAGCATCTCTTTTGCAGGATACATCGCAAGTTGGAAACAAGATCTTTGGGCTCCACAATTCTCCCTGTTGACTGTAGAGCACGGCTGACATGCTTCTGAATGGCGCAAAGAGCACAAAAGCCAGAATTACGGCCTTCATCAACCATAAGAGGATGTTTAGAATAAAGAAGAAATCCCAAGAAGGCAGGAAAATAAAAGCAAGCAAGCACATGCAATCTGACAGAAACAAACCAAAACGTTCAGACATGTAGAAAAAGGTCTGTATCATTCATGAAGCTTTTCTTAGCAATGAGTTGAAGTAATACGCACGAGGAAAATTCAGTCTCGGACTTATACCGTTTTAGCTCTGAACTTTCTATTCCCTAGAAACAAATATATTGCTCATAGCATCCCTTATGACTGTTAGGCAGAAAGAGGATGAAACAGTATTTGAATACTTCATACAAAAATGATTAAAAGATTCTCTTACCATTTGGCTTAAAAACTGACATTAATTTAAAAATAGTTGTAAACATTGGTCATGAAGTTTAGTCTAACAACACAGCACATGGGCACAAAGGAACAGAGAGACGGCTGAAGGAAAACGAGTATTTCAGTTACCTCTGAAAGTCAAAGAACACTACACAAGTGTTGCTATTTTACAATAGCACACTAGAGATGGGGTAATTGATAAAACAAGTGCATATGTCAAGGGATTCACTTATCCCCAAGGTATTTGCAGTTTTCAAAAAATAACTGAATGCTCTAAATAAAAAAAGTCGTAGGGAGACTTCAGTTGTCATCACTCAAGGCAACGCCATAAAGGGAACAACATGAATTCCATAAGCTTACACCCAAATCAACTAGTTACCCAACAGCACTACGCTTACTACAACCTCTCTTTCTTTACCTCCCTTTACGCTTGATTCATCCAAAACCAACAATTCTTATCCCTATCAAATATTTTATTTGTAGCACTCACATTTCGTAACCTCTATTCATATCGTTCTCCTGCTTAACAGAATGAGTTCATCACATTATAATTGAACATCAGTGCAAAAACTGAATTGCTTTACTAGGGAAATCCTTATATGTGAACTGAGAAGATCAAAATAAGATTTAGACATATAGTTATTTTATAAATGACAGATGGGCTTGGGTAATATTCATCCCCAAGAGCTAGCCCAAAATGAGGTGCCCAACCCACACTTAAACCCAATTACTGTCCAATAACTAATCGATGTGGCACAAACATAACTTCTAACAAAAAACAAAACTAAATATTTTTTCTTTCATAAAAATTTCTGGGAACCTTGTGATGCAAATGGGAACTTTGGCATCACAACAAAATTCAATTAATGGCATCACAAAGGCAAGCTACAAAACCACTCAGATACGTCACAGAGGATTAGATCACATGCAAGAGCACATAAAATCAATTATGTAAACATAAATTATTGATAAGACCATACAAATTAACAGAAAGGGAACTCACAGGAAATTTGGTGCTTCCCACTTTGCAAATAAGCCGCCAATGGTTCGGTGTATGTCAAGCATTGCAATACTGAATTAAGAAAACAAGTATTTCCAAGATTGCGTAGGCCAGCTCCCTGAAATCAAACCATGAACCCCATTGTTATTTGACTGTCAAAAGTCAGCAATAATAGAACATCGTGATTTCACAGCATATATTATGACAGGTACTAATGTTTAGTTAAAACATGAAAGCATCAAATTGCAATGGCACAAATTGGTCTAATCAGACCCACAGTATATCTACTGACAACCAATTTGAAAAATGGCACAATCATATATACATGGAGTAACATTTCAAGGCATAACCTGCTTTCTGATCCTCAATCAGATGCAGGTTTGCTACAAGAAAGTATTATCAGGAGATTAAGAAAAACTTCAAATACTCTTTAGCAGATCTATTACTCTCTTAGCCATAACCTGCTTTCTGATCCTCAATCAGATGCAGGTTTGCTACAAGAAAGTATTATCAGGAGATTAAGAAAAACTTCAAATACTCTTTAGCAGATCTATTACTCTCTTAGCTTTCAATATGTTACTTACTTTAATAATGCATAAAATATGTCTTCTCAATTAATAAACTGAAACATATTAAACAAAAACAAGAATATAAGAAAATAAAATACTTGAACATAGCCATGTTCGAAATCACAGTAGAGCTCAAAGATTTGATAGGATTATAAGCAGTAGATGTAATGGCAACAAGAATAAAATGTTGCATGGAAAACAGAAACCCAAATGCAGTTGCTTTCTGGAATCAATACAACACACTAAAAGGTTCATCACCCTTTATAAATAAATTCCACACATCGGACCCCCATATTTTGCCTTCAGTTCCACCTCGCCGCCTAACTGTACTGTTAAATTCATTTCAGTTTGAGGAATTACAATTAGCCATCAACCAAATAATACAAGCAGCCAAGAGCTTTCAACATAGAGGTAAAAATCTAAAAGAAACTGAAAACATACGAATAACACAGATCAAGTATATATACACAGATATATACCTATTGAACTACCTCAAATAAGGCCAAGAAAAAAGAAAGAAAGAGGTTTTAAGTATTCTCACAATTCTCCTAAAAGTAATCTCGAAACTGAGCTCCGGATCCAAGCCCGTTTCATAATTCTCCGTGGGCTTTTCACATTTCTTGCCCGAGCACGAAGCTTTATGGGTGTCCGCGTTAGGATTCAATGTAACCAGCTTAAACCCGTCAGTACTATTATTTCCAAAGCCATTGAAAGGCCTCCTCGCCACGTGAAATTCGATCTTCCGATGGAACAACGCCGCATCGGAGCCCGGTTCGGGTCCCCCTGCCCGTTCCGAATTAATCACAGCCGCCTCCGCCATAGATACACAAGATAGAACGCAATAACCTCTTTTTCTTACACCTTACAATTACAAAACTTCCCAGCGCTCTTCTTGAGATTTTCGCCTAGGAACCCACGCACTGATTGGTGCCGGTGCGTGTAAAGGGGGACCAAGAGAGAGAGTCGCAGGTTCGATGAGAACGTGTATAAACCCTACTTAGAGTGTGCGAGTGTGTGAGCGGCGTAGGTTGAGCGCGTCTAGCGTTTGCTGATGGGGAAGCAATCGACCGCGGTGAGGTCTACGAAATATTGCACGGATGGAGATTATGAGCACGTTTGTTTAGGGTGTTACTATTCACCGCCCCCCCTTTTACTACTCACCGCCCCCCTTGGACAATTTTGCCCCTCTCATTTTTCGTAAACATCTCAGAGAAGTATACGGTGAAATGTCGTCAAATTCCGAGGTACGAAAAAATTCGTGTCCGGACGTCGGTTCCGGACAGTTTAAAGGCCGTCCGGAACCGGCGGCCGGACGGCTTAAAGCCCGTCCGGAACCGGTGGCCGGACGGAGCAAATACCGTCCGGAAAGCACGGCCGGACGGACCGTGCCTGACCGGAACCGGCGGCCGGTCGGAACCGGTCCGTCCGGTCCGGCCGGCCGGACGGAATATTTTTTTTTTTTTTTTTAAATTATTATCATTATTATTATTAATTATTATTTTTATATAATTTATAATTTATAATAATTATCATTATTATTATTATTTATTATTCTAATTTTTAATATTTATAATTATTATTATTATTTGTTATTATAATTT